TTAGAACATGCCATCTATCCTTTCATTCGTGACAGCCCTACTGAGCACATACTGAAATTGCTAGAGCAATCATTTTTAAGAGGATGTCTTAAAAAAGGATTGAAAACCTTCAAAGGACCCAAGTATCTCAGACTTCAAATTCCATTAGAATTGTGCCAACTTTTCATATGCAACCGGACATGCAGGCAGAATTACTGGAATGGAAAATGTGCATAATCTAAGTATAGAGAATTATCCTAAATTGTCTTAGCTTTCATTCTTCTCAGACTTAATGACAGTGAGAAGGAAGAAGGTATTCTAAACTAAAACCAATGAATTATAGGGCTGCTCTGTTATCAGCCTCACTCAGACTGTGAATAAACTCTAAACAAAGTAGATCGTAATTTGTAGAAAACACACTGCTAAAAACAGACAAAGGTAGGTGTCATTCTGGGTTACCACACCCCAGCAGTCCATGAGTAGTATGCACCATAATGGTGCGTGGAAGAAAAATACCACCTAAAAATGGTTCAAGCAGTTAATATACCCCACCCACTTCGTTCAATGTGCTGTACCATTTACTCAGTTCAGGAAGTGCTATTTCCTAAGTAATGTTTCTCAACAAAATAGCTGGGAAAGTTGGAACTGTAAATTAGCTTGCTCTGGGAAAGATGCCTTGCTATGAGAAGTTCGTTGCTCAGGTAAACGTTGGCTATCTATTTCAGGCAGGTCACAAGTCCTCCTGGCACACAGAGAGGTTGCAAAGACAAACAATGTGCCTGTATTGCTCCCTTGGAGTAAGTGCTCCCTGCACCAAAAAGCTGGCACTGGCAGAATCTGCAGCAAAGGATAGAAAGGAGAAACACTTCCACGTGATAAAACTCAGTTCTGTTCTTTTTAACAGCTTTCTTGAGATATAATTCACATACCATACAATTTACTCATTTAAAGTATACAATTCAGTGGTTTTCAGTATATTCACAGAGTTGTGCAACTGTCACCACTATCAATTTTAGAACATTTCTGTCCCCTCTAAAAAAAAATCTTATATTCATTATTAGTCACTCCCCATTTTCTCCCAACCCTCCCAGCCCTAGGCAACCACTAATCTATTAATATTTTGTCTTTATAGATTTTCCCATTCTGGACATCTCATATAAATGGAATCATACAATCTGTGGTCTTTTGTGACTGATTTCTTTCACACCTTTAATATTTTCAAGGTTCATCCATGGTGCGGTATGTACTTCATTTCACTTTATTTCTCTGTAATATTATATTGAATGGATATAGCACACAAGTTCTTTTCTTTACAAGAAGTAGAATCTCTTTTGCTATATAAACAAAAAGCTATACACAGTGATTAGGTGCCAACATTAGCCCATAAATACCTACTGTACTTGAAAATTTATCATTAATTGCATAATGCTACAGTTCTTTACAAGTGTTATCAACTGAAGCTCCTTTACAGTTAAGCCAACTGCTAAATTCCCTATAAAATTGTAGGAAAAAAAGAACTTGCAAATCCTAAGGCCTGAACATCTCAGGACATAACTGCTCTTTGATCCCATCTAGTTCAAGATAAAGCAAAACCGCAAGTACACAAAGCTGGTCTCTGGAAGCTCTGTCTCCTCTTGCTTGACCTTCATCTGTTCCCTCTTTCTATGAAATAAATCCAACTCCTTCCTGCCTCTTCACCCCTTCCCCAACCCCCGAACAAAGCTAGATCTCTTATACCTGTTGAATAATTATAGCCTCACTCGAAATTAAAATAATACATTCACATGAAAATGTTACTTAAACCAGACGTTCTTCCAAAACATGAAAAGAGATGTGAAGAACTTCTGGCATGAACAAGCTGATAAAGGGAGAGTTGTTTTGTTTTTGCCAACAGACCCTTTCAAATCGCTGTAAACGTACTCTATAGCAAATCAAATTTAGTCAGTACTCTCTGGTTGATGCATATCTAGGAGGAGGGTGGGGAAAAAACAAGAAATTGTTATTAATTTTGTTAGCCAGGATAATATTATGATTATGTCTAAAAATATCCTTATCTATTAGAAATGCATACTAAGGTACTTGGATGAAATGATGTGATGTCTATGATTGCTTTAAAATACTTTGGCTGGGAGAGGATGTGGGGGAGGGAAACGAAACTAAGTACTGATATGTAATTGTTGAGGGCAAGTGATGGGCACATGAGAGTTCATTATTTTTTTCCGTCTTATGTATGTAAAAATTTCCATAGTAAAACACTTTTAAAAGAGAGAGAGAAATTGTTCTCTCCTCTCAGGTAGTCTTTTGCTCTTTTTCTTTTTTTTCATAGCACTTACTGCTGTCACCACATATTTCTGAGATTATTATATTAATGCCTTTTTTTCAACTAGACTTTGAGCTCCATGAAGATCAGAAAGGTATTTGCTTAGCTCCCACGGAATCCCCACCACCTCACATGGTTTCTGGCACATGACAGGTATCCAACAAATATGTACTAAGTAAATGACTGAATCAATAAATTAAGCCATAGCTTACACCTAGGTCAATAAATGCTCAATAAATAAAAGGAGAGGGGTGGAAAGTCTAGAACCTTTAGCTGAAGGGATTCAACATATTTACCTTTAGGTATTTATCATTTAAGATCACATGCTTTTCTAGTAAAAATGTAGTAAACGTGTCACAGAACAGATTTAACTCCATCTAGTTTATGCAAATATATTTGTGTCATGTACTCTCGGCTAAGCATTATAATCTCCATTATGATATGGAAACTACAGAATCAAAAAGTTAAGTAACTATTCAAAGTCATAATAAATCAGATGCACAAATGTGAACAAACTCAGCTCTGTTCTCATGCCTCATGCTGCTCCTAAAAGAACATGATTTTATTCTCAAGAAAAATTTTTTAAAAAAGGAAAAGGAGTACTATATATATTAATCCAACTTAAGCAGCTGAGAAACTAGATGTATAATAGTCTCAGTTGAAAATATTTTATTTTGACTGCCTAAAATAATTTTGAGATTGAAGCACTCAGTGGTAGAGAAAGTATAAAAAGTAGAAGGTGAGATACTTACACAATAGGGAACACAAGAAGGCATGACACTTGAGTGATTTGAAGGCCTTTTTTTTTTAACTGGTTAAATTGAAACAGTAAGATGAGGGACATAGAAAATTCGTAAAGATAATAAATATTAATACCAAGACAATGTTTAAAACACCAATCCCCTAGGATTCCAGTTCCCAGAATATTTATTTTTTATCTCAACTATAATACTGTAACCAATAAAGTTTCTAGCTAATAATTATTTTATTTATTAATAGAAAGAACCTACCATAATAAAATATCACTATGCCTCCAAATCCTTTTGAAATCCTTAGAACCTGAGTTTACCTTAATTTGGTAACAGATAATGATGTGCAAATTCAGAAAGTCAGAAATGCCAAATGTTTGCCATTAATAGAATCACAGCTACCTATAAAACTAATCTCAACTTAGTTTTAGCCAATCTGAAAGTTCTTGTGCTGTAGTGCCAAAAAATGTCACAGCCATATCTGCGGATAGTATTTCTAGCCAAAAGAATCAAACTCTAAAATTTAGTCTGCCACCAAATCTAAAAAATTGCATAGGTAGGTAGTTTTTTAAAAAACATTTTAAATATCCTAAGGAACATTTTGGGGATAGAGTCTGGAAAGATACTTTTTAACTCACATAGAGGCTTATAAGAGGCACCTGGCCTGGGTTGCATTCTAGACTGGATGCAAGACTGTTTACTCAGGGGCACAATACTTCTGGTGGCCTCCAACAAAGATTCAGGACATTCTGTGTTATCCCTACACCGTTATTATCATGCTTCCAATTTGCAATACATTACTTATTTCAGAGTAATGATTTACACATACAATTTTCGAACAAAAATGTTAAGATTTACTTGCCCCATGATGGTTCCTTCTCAACTTTTCTTATAACTTATAAAAGCACCAGCTGACCCAAAATAATCTAGCAATACCTTTAAGCCTTTTAATGTAAGCGGTAAAGGAATACTGTCCTCTGAATGCAGACAACACTGCTAACCCACGCGAGACAGTGATTTGTAGTTGTTTTTCCACCGGAGTGATGGATTTGCGCTCAGCTACTCACGGTGTCTACTAGGTCCCCCTGGTGACCAAACAGTACACTGAGGCAATAGTAGGGTTCCAAGGCACAAACTGGCAGCGGAACAGAGGGTGGAAGGGGAAATCATGAAAAATTAACACGCGAACAGTACACACGACCTGACTGAGAATTACGTTCGCACTGGTTGGGTATCTGAAATCCGCATACCAGCCACTATTCCCCTTCCCTTTTAAAAAGCAAACACCATTCGCCTGCTTCGGGCTTCCGATCCCCACCTCCCATTTAAATCTCTCGGGTGTGATGGAAAGCCCAAACCAAGGGGCTCAGCACGAGGCACACGCCACTTTGGGGGGTTTGAGGAAACACTGATGTGACAAATTGTCGTAATTTTCTATCTAAAATATGGAGGAATGACACACCACCTTTCCTATCACTGATTGAAGACCAAAGACAGAGTCAAGAATTGCCGACCTGCGGGGGCCCACGAGGGAGGGGGGAAAGCACCGAGAAGACCAGGGAGAAGACTGCCGCGCGTCCCAAGCTCCGACTGGAGGGGCGAAGAGCTGCGGGCAGCGCCAGGAGCGCGGGGTCGCACCCACGTCACGTCTTGGGGCTTTCAGGGTGCGAGGGGCTCGAGAGAGAGCCCGCGCGGGACGACCCGGGCCCTCGAGCTGGGCCGGCCGAGGCACGGGGGCCGCGGTGGGGGGACAAGGCAGCGCCACCGAGGGGGCTGCGGCGCCCGGGCGGCCGGGGAGGGCGCGCCGCCAGGTGCCCGACGGCAGGGGGCAGCGGGGTTCTGGCAGGCGCCGGCCCAGGGAGGGAGGAGGGCGGCGGGCGAGTCCCGCGCGGCGCCGGAGGGCGCGCGGCCGGGTGCGCCCGCAGCGGGTTGCGGGGCCGCCGCCGGCCTACCTGGAGATAATAGGGTTTCCTTAGCCAGGCCCCCGGACAGAGACTCCTCGCCATGGTAATCACACATCGCCCCGCCGCGCTGCAGTCAGAGGCGGACCCGGGCGCCGGCCGCCCGGCTCCCCGCCTCCCCCCGCCTCCCCGCCCCCTGCCGGGGGCGCCCACTCCCCCGCCCCCGCCGCCGCGCGCGCTGCGCTTCCCGGAGCCCAGCACGGCTGCGGGCGGCCCGAGGCTCGGCCTCCAGCTCTGTTCTCCCAGCCGCTGCGGCTGTCAGAGCCGGTGCCGCCGACTGCGCCATAAAGGGGAGTCGCGCCTCGCCTCCGCCGACACAAATCCAACTGCGCCTCACGCTTAAAGGGGAGGCGCGCGGAGGAGGGAGGGGGCGCCGCGGAAGAAGAGGATGTCGCACGCTAGGCTCGGAGAGGAACGTGCGCCGCACCGGCCCGAGCGCCGACCCCCCGGACAGCGCATACCTGGCCGCCCGCTCTGGCTGCCTGCTCCTCGCGCTGCGCCTGGCCGCGCGTCCCGCCACCCCGCCCCGGCAGGACTGACGTTCTCTCTGGACTCTGCTCCTTTGAGTCACGACGTGTCTGGGCGGGTTGTATCGAAATTCAAGGGAAGCTTGGGGCTCCATCCCTGGGGACGGAGTCGGTCTTCCTTGTTCACGGTGGCGGGTGGCGTGGGGATAAGGGGGCGGCTGCCGCAGCCGGCGACGCGGACCTGCGAGTTCAGTGAGCACTGGGCTCTGCGCCGAGGCGGACAGGGCTCTCCTCAGCTGAAGTCAGTGTTTCCCCCCACGCCCCCAATCCAGTTTGCCTCTAACGGCCTTCAACTTTTTTAAAATGTACTTTGTAAATATTCCGACTTTTTTGGTTTCTATTGTTTTCAAGACAGCTTCAGAGTTTTCCTGGCCCCACCCGGGAACCCTGAGTCAAAAGAAAAAAATTACTGAATTAAATACAGTCTTGAAAGCAGGGGACCTGGGAGGTGGCATAGCTACTCAGTTAAGGCTACATAACACACAGGGTGTGGTGTCTTTCTTTTGACAGTGAGGTCCAAATAAGGGAAAAAAGAACCACCCTAGTGGGAGAACAGCTGTTGATCCAAAGGGACTTGTAATGGAAGAAGATGCATTTTTTTGCTTCTTTGTATCCTGCATACTACGTCTTCACGTGATGCCAACGAAGTTTAGGTGGCTATTTAGAACTCATTCGGGCCTGTTACTCTGAGAAGTGATTTCTCCAGAAGCAAACCTTTCCTCACTCTCACCGTGGTTTTCCCGTAATCCTTGTTCTGGTGCTTTGTTTCTGAAGAGATACCTTTCTGTCTGCCCCTTCCCCCAACCCACACGCAGACAGAGGTTTTAAACTTCAGTGATATATTTTTTTTTTCTTTCTGCTTTTGAGATGAGGTCTCAGTATGTTTTCTAGCTCAAACTCCTGGGCTCAAGTAATCCTCTCAAGTAGCTGGGACAACAGGCACAGGCCACCACACCTAGCTACTTGGTGGTATTTCACTGCTTGCAGATAAGCCCATTTCTCACTGATTTTCAATTTGAGTTAAGAGATTTAAGTAATTTCTGAGTAAGCTAAGGATGAATCCTACGGGTTTCATTCATTCAATAAATATTGAGTACCCAGACACTATTCAATTTGTTTGGGCTATATATGTGAACAAAACACACAAAAATCCTTGCTCTTGTGGGTATTACATTTTGGGGGTGGGGGAGACAGGCAATAAATAATAAATGTAATCAATAAGAAAATATTATCAATAAGATAAAACTGATAAGGGTTATGGGGGGAAAAATCAAGGTAGATGGAGAAGGCTCCAAATAGAGGAGTTCAGTTTTGGGCATGTTACATTTGACGTATCTATTAGAAATTGAAGTGGAGATTTTGATTAGGCAGTTGTATACTTGAGGCTGGGTTTAAGGAGAGTGAGTGTAAATAGAAGAGCACCAAGGATGGAGCTCTGGGGACAATGCAGCTTTAAGCAGGGAAAGGTTGATGAGCCAGCCAAGGAGACTGAAAAGGAGCAGCCAGTGAAGTAGGAGAACTGAGTGAGGTGTCCTGAAACCAAGTGAAGCTAGTGCATCAAGGAGGAAGGAGTAGTCACACATGAGTGAGGACTGAGAATTGATCATTGGCTTTAGTGACATGGAGGCCATTGATAAACTTATAGTGAAGCAATAGAGGAAAAACTTGGTTGGAGTCGGTTTAAGAAAGAAGGAAGGAGAGGAATTGGAGCTGGCTAATATACACCGATCTTTTGGGAAGTTCTCCTACAAAGGGGAACCCAAATATGGGACAGTAACTAGTGATGGAAGTGGACTCAAATGTAGACTGAAAAAAAAGGAGAAATAATTTGTTTTTAATGGGAATGATGCAGAAGAAAAGGAAAAATTAATGTAGGAGCAAGAAGGGAGAATTGCTGGAGTGGTGTCCTTGAGAGGAAAAAATGGTTTGAAATCTAGCACACAAGTGGAAGGATCATGTGTAGACAGGAGTACATACAAACTGTTCATCTATGGAAACAGGCAGGTAGATAGAGATGGCAGTCGGAATCTTTGGATGTTCTCTTCTGCTTTTTCTTAGAGATGTAGAAGGTATTGTTATTAGCTGGGAGGAAGTGAGAAAGATTAACGTGTGAGGAGAGAAGAGAGGGTGTGAAATAGTCATGTAGGAGAATGGGAAGATGTGCAGACCAAAAAAAAATTTGTATGTTTGTTGAGTGTCATTAAGAGCCCACTTGTGTTTATGGTCATGAATTTTAAGTGGGACAAGTCAGTGTCATTGTGCTTTTTTCCCCAGCAATAATCAGCTGCCAGGATGCAAACACAGAATAGACTGAGAATACTATTTAATCAAATTTTACTAAAGGAATGAGAGCAAGGAAGTTGAGGACGTAAGCAAGGGAGTAATTATGAATCATCATGAAACTTTTTTTTTTTTTTGAGATAGAGTCGCACTCTGTTGCCCCAGGTAGAGTGCAGTGGCGTCATCATAGCTCATACAGCTCACTGCAACCTCAAACTCCTGGGCTGAAGCGATCCTCCTGCCTTAGCCTCTCAATTAGCTGGGACTACAGGTGCACACCACCACACCCAGCTAATTTTTTCTATTTTTGGTAGAGACAGAATCTCGTTCTTGCTCAGGCTGGTCTTGAACTCCTAACCTCAAGCAGTCCTCCTGCCTCAGCCTCCCAGGGTGCTAGGATTACAGGCGTGAGCCACTGTGCCTGGCCAACATGGAATTTAAGATGAGTAAAGAGGGAAGAGTGGACATGGAGAGGTTAAGGACAGGAAAAAGGTGTAGGATCAGTGAATTGCAAATCCTTGTGGGGTTGAGGGATTGTAGGAATCAAGGGAAAAGAGGGATAAATCCGGAAGGATGTATAATAAAGAGTCTGACTCTATTTTTTGCATTTTCTGACAGCTTTCAAGTGCCACCACTCCTGTTTCCCCTGTGATCAATATCATGATCACATCCCACCCTAGATTTCATCACTCCTCCATAATCTCTATTTCATGCATCCCATTCTAATTACTACATTGTTGTGGTCACTCTGCAGAAGCAGGATGGACTCCTCCACCTCAAATTTGGTTTGGATGTTGAGACTGGTGATGCACCAAAAGGTTTATTACCAACATAATGAAACTTTCTGGGGAGAGCAGGGCAGGCTTCCAAAGTGGTCCAAAAATGGTTTAAGGGAGCAGTGAAAGGAGATTGTCTTAGGGTTTCATGGTGGTTGGGGGGTGGGACCATGTTGAGTGTTCTCACATGGACTGGGTCTTGCATGGTTTGAGCTTCCTGCCGGCACCAAAAGCACCTGGGCTTTCTTATCTCCCACTGAGAGTGGAAAAGTCTCAGAAATTGGGGAGTGATGAGAAAAGGGTTCAGAATAGGTGATGTGAAGAGACTTGAGTGGATCAGCAGGTGAGAGATGAAGGGTGACCTGATGGCCTGGGATTTCTCATGGTAATAGATGTAAACGGATAACAAGAACAAAATTGAAAGCAAATGAGAAGAAATGGTTACTCAGGTTTCCATTTAGAATCACCAAAGACTAAATGAAATTAATATTTTATTTGAAAAGGGAAAAACGGTTTCAATTATTTTCATTTCAAACTTGGGCCCTTGTCTTCACATGCCCCAGGATCCTGAGAGAGACACCTGGGGCCACAGCAGTCCCCCAGGTCCATGCTGGGGACCTTGTACCACTGGACTTGCACTTTGGCTTTTAATCCACTTGGATGAGTCCCAAGATGGATCCAAGCAGGTTAGCCTTGGCAGATTTGGGCAGGACGCTTTCTGCCTCTGGTTTGGCCTTCCTCTGTACTCTCACTGCAGGGGCTTCGCCATCCTTCATGTCATGCCCTGGACCTATTTTATAGACATCTAAATGTGCCTATTCTGGTACACATTCTTACAGGACTTACAAGTTTCTGTTTTTCTAAGTAAAAGCTATTTAATCCAAAACTAATCCATATGGTTGTGTTCAGAGGTGCTCATTTGTGGCCTGTTAGTCACCATGTGTAATATAACTTTGGCCTTCCAGAGACTAAGAAATGACTCCAGTGGTTTCTAATACAGAAAAATCAAGATCAGTGGTCTTTGACATTTTTGTTTGCACACTCCCAAAAGAATTTTGAAAAATACACACATCCCTTCCCCGATGTTTTATATCAACATCCAAAATTTTTATCATGAAATATAAATTGTAAAGGAAGTAATTTCCAGTTTTGTGTTGTAAATATTGGCATTCAAAAATAAAACTGGCACACAACTCTTAGATGTGTCCAATGGAATATAAACACCTTGACAATTTGATACCATTTAAAGAGTATCATCCATTTAAAGAGTATATGATAAAACCATTTCTTTTGCTATCAGAAATGTATTAATAAAATTGTTCTCTTTTATTCCCTTGAACTTATATAATTCTGTTTCCCTCATAGAATTTTATACTGCCGTATATTTTTATGCCATCTAATTATATTTTTCTCTGTAATAAAATGTCATTTTAATGTTTTTTGTTTTCATTTTAAAATTTTATTTCAATTTTTACATACATAATACTTTCACCTGGTTAAAAATACAAACTAAATCAAAAGTATACATTGAGAAGTTTTATTCCCATAC